TTTCTGTTGCAGGAAAACCCAAGTTCCTGACGCAGAAATCCCTAATTGCACCCAAAATAAAGATGTGAATGCAGCCTTACACTTCTACTCCTCCCCCCCCCCCCCGAAAAAAAAAAAATATGCTCACCTTACCCCCAGCTTCTGCCCGGGGTCTCTAGGTGACAGTGATATCACAATTGAACGCAGAGGATTTTGGGTCCCAAATGGAGACTGCATTGTGCTGGAGAATCTGTTTGCAAGATTTGGGATACTTTGGGGCTCATTTAAATAGCAGCAGTATAGCTGAACCACAACGCAAAAAAAAAAACGCACACACTGCACATTTATAAGGCACTAAAATGTGCTCTGCCTCCTCAGCTTCAGGACTGTGAAGTCAGCAGAACACAAAAAAAGTGAATGGAAATGTAAATTAAAGCTGGAAGGTGAGCCCGGCCACTTGACATGTCAAAGGCACATGACCAGCCTTCAGGGTCACTTAAATCACAGAACCCTTCCTGCTACAATAAGAATCCTTTGGGGCTCCGCCAGCTTAACACGGCGGTCCGCATCCTATGAATGGGCCGTAAAATGCAGTTGCAGCCAAGCAGAGGCTGGGCAGCGTTATGCGCTCATTAAAAATAGCCCACTTAGTGTTCCCAGGATCTCCCCATAACGATTGTGACATCACCGTCTCCAGCACGGAAGCTAGGGTAAGGCAAGTATATGTTCTAACTCCTTTTCCCATGGGTGTTTCACAGATATAATGCAGCAATTTTAGATAGGGGTGGGTGGTTTTTAATAAGCGCTCCTTACATTTTAGAGCTTTAAGACTTTTCAAACCCAAAAAAAAAGGAAAACCTACCTGTTTGCCTAATTTTCGTACTGTAAACCAGTGTTCTTTATAATTGGAAATAAAAGCTCGTTCGTTTCTAGGAATAAAATAAAATAATTTTTTTTTTCTTAAATCAGACTAAAGCTGTAAAGAGATCTGCAAAAAAACTAAATGCAAAATACTATATTGTCATCCGAAAAGATGGCGGAAGATAAAACCCAACTTGAACCCGGACTTTATATGTTCTGCATATGGCGCTTTGATCACCCAGTCCCTACCCAAGCACAGAGCAAACCTATGGCCACTACTCCTGGGAAAGCAGCCTAAGGAGAACCTTTCCCTCTACACTGCTTAAAGGATAAGTGCTCTTTAAGACAAAGTATACTTCGAAGTCTCCTGTTTACCCCTTTGCACCGACCTTGCCTAAACTCACCCTCCCCAGATTAATACATTGATCCGACGGTCATGGCCTCTGGTGTTTGTTTACATCCGGAACCCAACTCTCACTGTCCTGGCTCGAATTCGCCTTAAAGCCCCATAGACTTCTATGGGTCCGTCTCCCTTCATTTCTGACCTTGGGACACAGATAGTCTATGGGGCCATCTCCAGTCATCTCTGGCCTTGGGACACAGATAGTCTATGGGGCCGTCTCCCTTCATCTCTGGCCTTGGGACACAGATGGTCTATGGGGCCGTCTCCCTTCATCTATGGCCTTGGGACACAGATGGTCTATGGGGCTGTCTCCCTTCATCTCTGGCCTTAGGACACAGATAGTCTATGGGGCCGTCTCCCTTCATCTTTGGCCTTGGGACACAGACGGTCTATGGGGCCGTCTCCCTTCATCTCTGGCCTTGGTACACAGATATTTTATGGGGCCGTCTCCCTTCATCTATGGCCTTGGGACACAGATATTTTATGGGGCCATCTCCCTTCATCTCTGGCCTTGGGACACAGATAGTCTATGGGGCCGTCTCCCTTCATCTCTGGCCTTGGGACACAGATGGTCTATGGGGCCGTCTCCCTTCATCTCTGGCCTTGGGACACAGATGGTCTATGGGGCCGTCTCCCTTCATCTCTGGCCTTGGGACACAGATAGTCTATGGGGCCGTCTCCCTTCATCTCTGGCCTTGGGACACAGATGGTCTATGGGGCCGTCTCCCTTCATCTCTGGCCTTGGGACACAGATAGTCTATGGGGCCGTCTCCCTTCATCTCTGGCCTTGGGACACAGATGGTCTATGGGGCCGTCTCCCTTCATCTCTGGCCTTGGGACACAGACGGTCTATGGGGCCGTCTCCCTTCATCTCTGGCCTTGGGACACAGACAGACAGTCTATGGGGCTGTAATGCACAGGCGCTGCCGGGTCAGTGCTGCGTATAAACAAACACCGGAGACCATGGCTGTCGGATTCAGGTCAATATGTGTCTGTGGAGGGGGGAGAATGGATTAAGTTACATCAATGCAAAGGGCCAAACAGCATAAATGCACTTTGTCTTATCGTGCACTTAACCTTTAAGACCTCACTAAGCACACCCACTGCTTTTGGCCCCCACTTTGGCTTTAAAACTTGGGCGAGGTAAAATAAAATAGGCGGCACAGTTTAGCACTTCTGCCTTGCAGCACGGGGGGTCCCTAGTTCAAATCCCAGTCAGGACACTACACACAAGGAGTTTGCATGTCCTCCCTGTGCTTGCGTGGGTTTCCTCCGGGTACTTCGGTTTCCTCCCACACTCCAAAAGACATGCCGGTAGGTTCAAAGGCTCCTGTCTAAATCAGCCTTGTATGTATTCATGTGAGATGGGGACCTGAGATTGTAAGCTCCATGGGGGCAGAGAATAAATAAAAATAAATAGGAAAGAGTTCAAGGCCAAAACACTGTGGTCCATACACAAATAGGTCCAAAGAAGGTTGATGTGCACTGGTTCATGAAAACAGATTCACGCATGTCTCTAAGATTTTATATATACAGGCTTCAACATGTATACCAGGTGTGTGCAGCAAGCTTTTACATTCATAAAGCTGTCGGCAAGCTTTGATCAGCTGTGCTGAAGCCTTAAAAGGAGAATTATGAGGCGAGTGATTTTCACTCAGCCTCATAATCTGAGCCGACCTGTGACAACGAGACTGTCACAGGTCGGCTTCCCCCATGTCCGATCCTCCAGCGCTGACTGGCAGAACGGACGGGGCGGGCACAGCTGGCTCTACCTCTGGATAGGCAGAGCCAGCTGTCAATCCCGCAGCTGGGTGGATCTCGACAGGATCCGTTCCAGCTGCGGCGTCCCAGTATACCATTATATACCGAGCTTTGGGTGACGGGAGGACGCTAGTTTGTGTCCTCCCGTGACCCTTAGGAGAACTATGGGGAAAAGCCATGACCCCATAGTTCTCCTTTAAAGAAAAATGCAGTTCCAGTTTAGGGCCAAGTAGTGCTGGAATGTACCAAAACCTGCAAGCATCTTTCTGTGATAAATTAGCACCCGCATTAAAATCTGCGTTTATCCTTTCCCTAATGGACCTAAAAAGGTGCTTTTAAAGGCTTTAACAATGCTTTGCAAAGATCTTACTGAACACACCGCTCTTACACAAGCTGGAGCCAGTATGTACACCTTCAAGAGTACCTATGACTACCCACAGTAACCAATCAGCTGCCACCTTTTACCAGTTTGGAGAGGCAAGAACAATGAAACGTCATTATGTACCCGGATGATCTGGGTTACTGCACTTTGAAACATTTGATCTTATTGATGATATAATCCCATTTCTAGGACTGTGAAAGACATCTTACATAGGATTGATGTCGAGGGTCTGATATTCTGGACTGTTGAACAGGATCAGTTCTAAGCCCCACACTCTCAGAGCGTCACTTATAACCTGTAACAACAAGAAAGAAGCAGGAGCGGAGAGTTCGGTGAAATCAGTGCGGGGAATTAACAATGTAACATGCAACAATACAACATTATAATGGCGCAGGACACTGGTACGAGTGGCGTGCGCCACATAGACACAGCTGATAGAATGTTTCAGGTCTATGTGCGCCATCTGCGCCAGTTTCTAATTCAGACTCTATCAGTAGTTCACCGCCAGTGTTAAGACTCACTGCTGGAATTATATTTGATTGCATCTTCACTTTCTTTTACCTGAATAGAGAAGAATCCGCTGTCATCCATGTTCCCAGATGGTTGCTGTAATAACAGGAGATGAAACATCAGTAAATTAGACAAAAGGCAAGTGCCAACAATTTGCTGAAAATTTGGATTCACTCCCCACCCCTCATGCTCCCTGCTTAGGAACGCCCGCTCCTCTAGATTGACACCCTCCGTCAAAGCATTTTGATATTTGCATATCCCCTCCCCAGACCCTGCCCACTGCTTACATCAGGGCCGAGGGCTTTTAAGAGGATTACTGTAGCAGGTGGTGTGATGATTTCAGGAAGCGTATGTACAGCACCCTGCTGGCCCCTCCCACCAGCCATCTGTCTGCATTGCATAAAGAAGCACAGACACCCAGTATCCCCCCCACCACCATTTCTTGCATAGGTGTCACAGTAACAGGAAGTGAGTAGAAATCGCAGGATTTCCGGGTGCAGGGATTGCGAACACTCCCCTTGAAGATGTGCCACACCAACTGGTCCCAGACAGTCCCTATGCACAATTTCTGGGTGCAGGGATTGCTAATACTCCCCTTGGAGATGTGCCACACCAACTGGTCCCAGACAGTCCTTATGCACAATTTCTGGGTGCGAGGATTTCTAACACTCCCCTTGAAGATGTGCCACACCAACTGGTCCCAGACAGTCCTTATGCACAATTTCTGGGTGCGAGGATTGCTAACACTCCCCATGAAGATGTGCCACACCAACTGCTCCCAGACAGTCCCTATGCACAATTTCTGGGTGCAGGGATTGACATTACTCCCCTTGAAGATGTGCCACACCAACTGGTCCCAGACAGTCCCTATGCACAATTTCTGGGTGCAGGGATTGCTAATACTCCCCTTGAAGATCTGCCACACCAACTGGTCCCAGACAGTCCCTATGCACAATTTCTGGGTGCAGGGATTGCTAATACTCCCCTTGAAGATCTGCCACACCAACTGGTCCCAGACAGTCCCCCTGCACTGACATAACTCCTGTTCTGGATCCGGAGAGGACCTCACGCTGAACAGCCAACAGGAAGTGTCCATGCCAGGCAGACAGTGACGTGGACACCCAAAAAAAAGGACCTTGCCTCAAGTAACCGGCAGAGAACACTCGGGCCTGGAGCATCGCATGTCTGCAGCGTTAGGTAAATAAAGTAATTTTGGTCAGTTTGGGGAGAGTTGGAAGGGGGGGATGGGACGGGGGTTCACGTTTTGCGCACAGCATGGGCTGTAATAAGGGAGCATAATCCCCAGTGTTTCTGTACTAGTCAGTGGCGTTTCACTAGAGTGCCCCTTTAATATAAAGATGTCATACTTGCACGAATGTCCTATATTCAGCACTTTGTACCCCTCCTTCCGCCATTCTCATCCGCTCCTGCTCATCCAGCTGCATTGCAATGGAAGATAGTTCCACGGGGCTGAAGTATTCTCCTTGAAGCAAGTTGTTGAGACAGTGCTGGGCACATAGCGAGCCCTCTTGCTGCAACAGAGGAAGGAAAACAATACATTGAAAGGGTCAGTCCACCCAAAAGTGATGCTGCAGTTACAAGTAGCGAGGGCCCAGTCACCTGCTGGAGTTCTACATTCAATGGGGGCTGAAGAGGGAAGGATGCCCACCTACCTCCTTCCCTGCTCACCTCAGGGTGTTCTCACTCCTACTGCTGCACGCTCCGCAATGTAATGTTAAATTTAACGATACAAGTGGCGCCATCAGGCGATCCAATTCACAAAACAACCGCCAGAATCTGGAATTTGAAGCTCAATTGAATTTGCCAACATAGATCTGCAGTCCGATATTGTTCCAGCAACCTCCAGTTTCCTATTAGAACAGTTTGTGCCGGGTGTCTATATAGGACTGTGCAGTCCAAATCGGCACCAAGTAGACCCAGCGGCCTCAGCACTTAGTAAAGGGCCGGGACAGACATGTCTCCTAACGTCACTTGCGATAAGGAGTGTGGGGCAGTTACTCAGCTCTGTCAGCACAGGGCACTGGAGGGGGAGCGCAGGAAGCAGCACATCAAGCAGGTACATCGAGGTGTTTCCAAGTAAAAGCAGAGCCACAGATCATGAGGGACAACACTTCAACCGGGCTTCAAATCTCACACACACAAAATCCATCCAAGGTGAGTCCAGCTCTGCCAAATGGACACAGGAGACCAGACACTGTTGGTTCCAGTAAGTAGCATGAGGTCGCCGGCTGAACTGTGCTTCCTGGGTAGTGCGTTCCAAGGGCGAACCCTCTTCCTCAGAGGGTCCTACCTGAACTGCCCCTTTGCTTGTTTTTTTGAAGAGGTCTCTGCCTGCTGCCTGGACTGAACCTTCCCCTGTATGCTGACCATGTCTCTGCCTGCTGCCTGGACTGAACCTTCCCCTGTATGCTGACCATGTCTCTGCCTGCTGCCTGGACTGAACCTTCCCCTGTATGCTGACCATGTCTCTGCCTGCTGCCTGGACTGAACCTTCCCCTGTATGCTGACCATGTCTCTG